TCATCAGTGGGGAAGTCCCTCAGGGAAAAGTAATGACCTGCGACGGTTTAATGATTTCTATGCGTTGCTGCCCACAGGCCTGTCCCACGAGCAAAACATGGCCAAGATGCGTCTGCTCACGTTCATGGGCATGGCAGTGGAATTCAAGGAGATCTCCTTTGAAACCATGCAACAGGAGCTGCTGGTTGGAGAAGATGATGTTGAAGCTTTTGTCATTGATGGTAAATAACCTTCCCTTAGCACAGGCCACTTTTCATTTACCAGGATGGGTTTCATAACAAGACATGAGAATCGTTCTGTTTGAAACCCTGCATGGTCAAGTGTATTTTCTCTTTAAAATGTCATTCAAGTGTGTAGGTGTTGACCTTTTCTGCCTATTCATTTGTTGTGTATTTTTTTTTTTTCTGTTTACCTTTTAGCTGTTCGGACAAAGATGGTCTACTGCAAAATTGACCAGACTCAGCAACAAGTTGTTGTCAGGTAATTAAAATTGACCAGACTCAGCAACAAGTCTTTCTTTCTTTCTTTCTTTCTTTCTTTCTTTCTTTCTTTCTTTCTTTCTTTCTTTCTTTCTTTCTTTTTTATTTATTACATTTTTATTCATTATTATTTTCTCATAAAAAGGCCAATTGATCAGACTCATCCAGCCTAGTAGCTACAACAATAGCATGGTGTCCAAGGCAGAAAAAAGGGTCAACCCGCAAAATTAATTTAAATAATGAAATTAGAGCAACCAATTATTATTATTTTTTGCTTACCTTAAATCCAAAACTGCCAGAGGGGAATTCATCACGGGGATAGATTCCACACCCACCTGCTTTAAGTGAAAATTTGACATATAGTGAGACCATTCAAAAGAATGTGTACGTACTGCAAGTCAGACTTTGTCTACGTGAACGCAGTACTACACAGCAAGCGAAGGATTTCAAAGAATGATGTAAACAGGAAGTATTGCAGCTCTATTGTGCCACACGAAAAGATGAAAATTCCTTCAAAATGGCGGGCTGGACCGTCAAAAGAAATCCCTCTGTAAAGTTCTCTTCATTTTCAGTCTGCTGGATAAATGTGTCACTCATTTGTAAAGAATACGACTTGACATATTCTCCGTCGTCCTCCCCATCAGCCACAGCACACACCGTACCTTCGGCAAGCAGCAGTGGCAGCAGCTGTTCGATAGCCTCACCTCCTGGAAAGCCAACCTAGCAACCGTCAAGTCCAGCCTGCAAACTCTGTCACCTTCCGCCTAGATTCCACCTTCACCCTATCCGTCAACTGCCCGACCCGACCCTTGGATTTCTTCTTTCACAACTGCTCCCTCAGCTTTTATACTCATCCAATAAAAGAACAGTGGAGATCAATCTGGTTGATTTGATTTTTTTTTTAACGATTTATATTGTACAGGATTGTTTTTAATGGTTGCGGTTTTAATCATTGAATCTTTTCAAATGGGCATCATCTTCATTTTAAAGGTGATTCTTTTCAGGGGGTGGGGGGTCGCCCTCAAATGTCTCTCAACATCTGGTTTCAGTAAAAGGACAACATGCCAGTATTAGATGAGCTGTGACTTGCGTTGAGAAATTGGCTGCAATGATGAGGTCGCTTGTCAGGGAAACACGCGAGAACTGTCGACGCTAAAGCGAACTGCGATGAACCCGTCGTACATTATTGTGTTAACAACACTTGGAGCTCGTAGGGGGATGATTCACAGCGTTGCCAGGCAATGTCCAACTTGTGGTCAGCATGATTCACTCTGTTTGTTTGATTTTATCTTGCAACAAGTATCTTCTCACATTCTGCGCTGAGACATTAAAGGTGCAAACTGCGGAACACCAAAAGCCAAATGCACCTAAAGTGGTAAATATATTTTTTTATGTTAACGGTTTCGAATGGTCTGATGTGACACTTGGATGCCTCTCACCTCCTTTGAATGCACCTAGAGTTCAGTATCATTCATCATTCGGTTGCTCAGGGCGTTGCAAACAATCAGGTCACAGCATGGGATGTGGCCAAAGGATGTCCACTTCTACATCTTTCTGTGACTCTTCCAGTTTCTTGGTATCTCGGTGGCCACTTCCGTCTGTGAACATCCTGTTTGTTTCACATTGGTAAGGTACTGTTGATCCATTGTTAGGTGTCGTCTTGGTCTCATGATGTCAAAATATTAACAGCATGAGGACGACTGGTTAAACAACAGCTCTAATTGAACCAAGACATTTATTGGTCGCTTCAAGGATCAGACATCTGTTGTGAATTTTGCCATTAAGCTCCTCGTTAGAGAGCAGCAACTTGTGCAAAAACTGAAACATTTAACAGTTGAACACGTGCATTCAAAAGTTCAGAGAAGGTCACATTTAGTTCACCTGTAAAGTTTTGAATGCATTTTAGCCTCGTCCTGAAATTTCACCCGCTAGCCAAATATCCCTGACTTTTTGTGAGTCGTGTATATGTCTTTTGTAGTCGGATTAAGCCTTAACTATAGTAGCGATCAGCTTTTCCTATCCCGCCAGACATCTGCAGAAGCTCAGCACTCACCCCTGTCCGGTGGTCCACCAGGAGTAACATCTCCAGCCTTTATCGGGGCGTCGGTATCATGCAAAAACATTCTCAGGGGCCACCGTCGGACAAAAAACTGGAACACTGCAGAGAAAGAGTCGTGCGACGAAGTCAACGGAATGTTTGTAAAGCCTTGTATCTTGGCTGGAATATGCTCCTTTTTCGTCTGGCTACTGCTCCCTCTCCCTTGCTTCTAATTTGTCTCATTCAGTGTTTCTGCATGTGAGAAGTGCCAGATGTAAATACTGGTGTCATTTTATCTGCTGTAAGCGCTATGACCTTATTGTTATCTAAGTCAGAGAGAGGTGCTTCTGCATTGTTAAATCATGAAAAGCGACAACAGTAATGAACAAGCACAAACAGCTGCCTCGTTGTGTGTGAACTATTGAGAACTAGATGTATACCTCAGCACAAGACGTTACTTTTTTTTAAATCTGGGTTACGATATCATCGTCAGTGAGCGATACAGTTTGACATCACGCAGCTGATAAAGGCTGGAATTCCTCATTTCCGTGTGAACATTCCTCTGAATAAATTCTGATACTCTACAGAATCCAGATACCTCGCCAGCTACAAGAGAGGGGTTCTCATTGTCCCTTCAATTAGCACCGTGCAGTAGTCAGCCAGATAAAGTCCAATTGCATCATATCTTTTTTACATAAACACTGGCCACAAGGCCTCGAGTCTCAGGGATAGATATTTGCCTGTGTGAAACATCAACATATTTTACACAGAAGTCCAGCCAAAAAGCATTAGAGCCAAGAGAAGATGTACTGTAGGATTTATCTGCCTTTTCCCTTTAACACAGATGGCTATGCACTTTACATGGGTTAGTTGACCCTTCTGTGATCAAGTGGAAGAGGATTTGATTATTTTGACTGTCACTATACACGGATGGCATAGATTGGTGAACAGTTACATTATTTGTCCAAAAGTAAATAATTTTCTGACCGATTAAGTGGTTTCTGCCTCCTGATGTAATGAGTGCACCATTTGAGAGGTGGAAAAAGCACACTGTCCTTAGCACGGTATTGGTTTTGAAACAGCATTCTGTTAGCGGTAGGTTGACTTTATTTTCATTTTAATGCACAGAGATTAACTTGTCTTTCCAGCTTGTATGACTTTTAGGAATGTTTGAATGTTAGTGAAAACATCAAAATATTATGGTATGACGGTGAAAGGATAAAACAGAAACAAATACATTATGATTTTTTGGGAAATTGGAAGAACCCAACCAGCATCACTTTGTAATTCCACTTTTTTTCTGTATAATTATTGAACATGTTTTGTGTTTATTTTACCACCAAATTTGCTGACCACTTTTTTCGTGAAAGGAAACTAATCACAGATGTCTCCTCTTCAGTCAAAAATAACACTGGTTAAATCGTTTCCAGAATCATTTTCCCCTTACATGGTTTACACACAGCAGTGTGGTCCCTGCGAGAGGTTGAGTGCCTTTAAAAGAAGCATATAGATCCCAAAGATAGCATTGGATTACAGATGTAATTTGTGCCTACCCATTAAAGGTGATGGTATAGCTCCTGCGTTGTAAAAGCATCAAATGGATTGATGCAGTTCAAATGTTTAGGCAAAATTTAGCTTTTAAAGGGTCATTAAAGAGACAGACCTTTTAATTCCACTGGAGCTTGTTACAAGATGGCAGCCATTAACCATTCGTGGTATCAGGGCACTCTCTAGTGGTATGTGAAAGAATCACTGAATTAAAGATACAAATACAATTTACACCGTAAACATGAAATACAATCCAGCATGAGCTTGTATGCATAGTTTGTTTAACTTTTTATTTTACCCACAACAGTTTCATTTTAAGAGCAGTTCAGTTGTATTTAACGTTTTAATACAGTAAAATAAAATCACACGCATTCCTGAAGAATGGCTGCAACATTTAAGTACGTATTTTTTAGTTTTACAGTGAACACATTTTACTCGAATCAGTATTTTTACTAGTTTTCACTCGCATCCTTAAGAAACAAAATTTGCTTTTATATTTTTGTTATATTTTCCCCAATATTTATGTTACTCCTTAATCACACCTTTCCTTGAAGTTTACTTGAAGCATAAAATTTAATTCTTGTTACTCTCAGTCTTCTTACTCAAATGAGTGGTTTCAGAACACTAAAACAATGACATAAAAAATGAAGTTGCCAGAGATGGGCCAATACACATTTAGAGTTATTCAATCCAATTATTATTAGATAAAAAGTTGAGAAAAAAAATTAAGTTAATTTAGAGAGAATTTGATGGAATGGTCCATGTAACAATCAATGCTTTTTGAATTCAATTCATATTCTTCCTAAAATTCTACCAACAATAAATTGTTGTGAAATGACAGCGAAATCTACTGCGTGGAGCCTTATCTCTGCCGCCATCTATCGTCCGTCTTTCTGCATAGCACACATCGTGTTATCCAGGTAAAGTGATCGATTGGTCGAGCCTGCGCAGGTAGCTCAAGGAAGAGCGGTGCAGTTTTGACTTGGGAGTAAACAAGATCCCTTTGAAACAAATTGGAAGGGACGAGCGTCTTCTATGAAACACACCGACAACAAATTGCTGTCTTTTTTTTTTACACCAGCGTGGGGTAATCTGCAAAAAACTGTCAAGAAAAAAATTTATGACGTTTCCCGAGTCTTATCAGTGTAGACGTGGGGACACGTACCGCTCCCTTCTTTCGATATTATGCGTCGACGTTGGCTCCTGGTGATATAAACGGCTGTTGTCAGCAAGGGTGGAAGGGGACTTAGTGGACTATTTATGAGGCTGAAACTTTCTTTTGCGGCCTATTAATGCGTCTGTATACACGTGACCATGTTCCTTCATCTTGACCTGCTCCTCCTCGTCCTCCTCTTCTTCACCTGCGCAGATCTGGCCTGCGTGAGGAAGTTATGCTCCATAGAGGACGCCTCACCAGAGGCAGGTAAGTCATTTTCTCCTTATATAAATCCATATGGGACATTTACTGTTAATACATGTGGAACTGCGATGGACAAGGTAAATGTTGAAGGCAATTTTTCATCAGTGCTACGAGAGGACCACATAGGACCACACGCTTCGTTTTAAATATGGACACGAAATATTTGCATGGGGACATATATATATATAGTAAAAACCCAAATATTCTCCCCAAAAAAATATTGCTAAACTTAAGTACCGGTACAGTATATTTAGCCGGCTGTACTTTTTTTGTTTTACTTAAGTATTGGAGTTGACTCAGTACTCCTACTTTTAGCAAAGTCGTTTTTGACAGAAATATTCGCACCTCGATTTAAGTACAGCGTGACTACTTTTGCCATCTCAGCCTTCACTTAAAGTGTCATTCCAATCTGTTTGGGGTGTCAGTGTTTGTGGATGAAGGAGAGGCAAATTCGTTCCTGGGTCGTCATCTGCTGTTCAACCGGTTCGACTTTGAGATATTCGTCCCTGGAAACTTGGAAAGGGAGTGTTATGAAGAGGACTGCAATTACGAAGAAGCAAGGGAGGTCTTTGAAGATGCCCAGGCTACTGTTAAGTGACGCAGTATGTCAAATAATGAGGTAAAATGCGACATAGATTAATTACACTGGTTTCTATGTTTTACAGAATGAATTTTGGAAGAGATACACTGCAGGTAAGAATGATAATTTCACTATTATTAAAACATGCTCATTCAATTGTACTCACTGGCCACAACATTGATTACATACCGGATATGAACGTCAAAAGGAAGCAATTACTGTGTAGTCTGTATACATATTCAAACACAACCAAAGTTCTGATTAAAGGTAATAAAGCTCAGTTTTGACTGAGAGTGTTCACAAGTTGTTGTTGTTTTATAATTATTTGGTTACTTATTAGGATACAGTGCAAACTTCACCCACAATAATAAACATGTAACAGACAATTAGCATTTGTAAAGCCAGATTTGAATTGAGGTGCTGTTTACAATAACACTTGCGTGACTTCATACAAAGCAAGTGCTACTCTCTTAAAACCTGTCTATCCACCTGAGCATCTAACCTTTAAACGGTACATGCTCATCAGTCTGCTGACAAATGTAAGCAGAGTTCTTCTCGGGCTTTTGTTTTGCATGTATGATCATTTCATTTCATATCGATTTTTTTTTTTTTTTGTTTGTGCAGAGTTCTTCTCGGGCTTTTGTTTTGCATGTATGATCATTTCATTTCATATCGATTTTTTTTTTTTTTTGTTTGTGCAGAGTTCTTCTCGGGCTTTTGTTTTGCATGTATGATCATTTCATTTCATATCGATTTTTTTTTTTTTTTGTTTGTGCAGAGTTCTTCTCGGGCTTTTGTTTTGCATGTATGATCATTTCATTTCATATCGATTTTTTTTTTTTTTTGTTTGTGCAGAGTTCTTCTCGGGCTTTTGTTTTGCATGTATGATCATTTCATTTCATATCGATTTTTTTTTTTTTTTGTTTGTGCAGAGTTCTTCTCGGGCTTTTGTTTTGCATGTATGATCATTTCATTTCATATCGATTTTTTTTTTTTTTTGTTTGTGCAGAGTTCTTCTCGGGCTTTTGTTTTGCATGTATGATCATTTCATTTCATATCGATATTTTTTTTTTGGGGGGGGGGAACAAAAAGTCAACATAATCAGAAGAGTGTGATGGTGTAAAACTCCCCATTTTGTTTGTCGTATTTAAAGCGCCACATTGTGATGCTCCTTTTGTGTCAAATGGTGATCCACAGAGAAGGACAAGAGACCATCAAGAGTTGACATTACTTCCCTCCTGGTGGCACTGGTTGTTGTCGGAGTGATCTTTGTTCTCGTGGGCCTACTTGGCTGGTATTTTTGTCCGGGCAAATGTAAAGATGACTTCAGCCGAGCCAGGTGAGGGAGAGAGCGGTTAACATGATCTCTAATTTTGACTTGAATCCATTTTTGTCCTCATACCCTCTAAACAAGCAAAATCTGTCAATGAATTGAAAGCATGTAAATTGTACTTAAATGATCAGATTTTCAAACATGTTCAACATGTCTTTCAGAGCATTGTACTTGAATCTTGGCACCGATTTGTTCTTTTTAGGAAAGTCCTTCATCTACTGTTCCATGTGGGAGTTATAAAGAGTTATGGAGGCATTCTGAGTACAAATTCAATTCAATAAATGCAATAGTGTCTTTAAAAAATACATCTTTTTGAGAGCTGAATTACATATAAACAACCGAAATAATGTTGCAACATTTTTTAACTTGCCATACGCTGAACCAACTTGCCATATGACTGAACCATTATTCAAACACGGTTCTTTTTTCCAATAAACAAGCGCAGTATTAACTCTTTCAGGGACAGCGGTCACTCAGTGGACAGCTTATCATGTTATCAGGTTACAGAAGTCACCAAAGCTTTAATTTACAAACTCTGTCCTCTCTCTCTCTCTCTCTCTCTCTCTCTCTCTCTCTCTCTCTCTCTCTCTCTCTCTCTCGCTCTCTCTCTCTCTCTCTCTCTCCCCCTCTCTCTCTCTCTCTCTCTCTCTCTGTGTACGCAAACTGAGAAAAGAAGTATATCCACAATGTAGGATTAATTCAATTTATCATTATGTTTAGCTTCATATTGATGTACAATTATCCAAAAATTACATACACTCAAGAGGCTCCAACAATGACGGAAAAGTTCAATGTGCAGTGTGAAAATCAGGCAATCCGCCTTTACAAATACCGCAATATCATCTTTTTACACGATTAATAAGTATAAAACTTGAATGAACCACACCCAATGGACATTATGCAATTGTCTGCTCTGCTCCTCCACAGCTCAGTTCGGGTTCGTCCTAGGAGGAGCAATGCCTCCATCATCATACGTCGGCTCGAGGAAGTGTCTTTACAGCCAGTCCTCCCACCCCCGCACCCCATGGACGAAGTTGAGCCCCCGGGACTGCCCTCATATGAGCAAGCCATTGCAAAAAGTGGACAACACGATGCCCCACCACCTCCCTATCCAGGGTAACTGTAAACCACTTAGCACATTCATGAGTGAACTGCATCCTACAATATAGTCACATAATTTACACTTTCCGTATTCTCTTCTTTTGCTAGAGCTGGAAGTATTCGTCGGTAGAGTCTTCAGGAGCTTCACATCTACTCTCACACTGTGCTTGTTGACACTGTACAATGTACACAAATGATGACACGATGCCTGTGCCGCCTGCTTATCATCGGGATTGAGCTATCCTATCAATGCTCATATGTTTTTTATTCACTTCTAATCTTACGTTTCTAGAGTCTAGACCTGAAAAGTATTGTCACAGGAGCCTATATTGTGCTTTTTGTGCACTAAAATCCAAACCTTCACTGAATTGTGTTAGATTTGAAGAGTAGTTCAAATGACAAATTACAGTGGTACCTTGACTTAGGAATTGACCAATTTACGCTTTTTTTTTAAGCCATGGGGCGCTGCTTAACCAACTTTTTTTTTCTCTGACTTTCGAGCAAAAATTTGAGAAACAAGCACTAGATGTGACAGTGATTTTTAACTCACTTCACATCAAGCAACAATTTGACACATAAAATATTAACAACAATCAATATTCCAAAAAGAAGTTTCAAGTGGTTTATTACATGTCCCACTTGAAATTTGCTATCAAAGTAAACAGAAAACAAAAGAATGTGTGTTTAGAACAGCCACATAATTTTGAATGTCAGATAGCTTAAACACAATACAGAATGCTATAGATGGACTAACGAGTTAAAAACGTTAAGCAGCAGATATTTGATCGTAAATGCTGCAGCAACACATGTACCCAGACAATATAGCAGCATTCTCAGGCATATATTTTTCTTCGGCTAATACTACTAAAACTTAATGAGTCACTTAATTGTGTAACTTTTTTTTTTGTTTGTTAGTGTCTGTGTGATTGCATTACACGGACCCCCCGGTGGCCAAGGCGCACACACCAGAAGGAGCAAACGGTCTGGAACGTATTGATGGCATTTCCATTCATTTCAATGGGGAAAGATAATTTGAGATTGGAATGTTTTAAATTATTGGTGTGGTCACGAAACAAATTAAACTCGTAAGTCAAGGCACCATAGTATTATAATTTTTTACCTGATTTATTAGTCGTCGAAGTAGGATCGAGCACTTCCTGTCACTTGTGGCAGTTTATTTTTTAACATTATTTTGTTGCAATTGTGGGGATGGTTTTGCTACTATAATTATTGCTTTAAATATTTGTCAAGGTGAGTATGAGACTGAGAACGATTTTCTGCAACGTGCAATCACTTGAATGCTTTCTTCATGGTGAGAAAAGAGCCTGCAGAAGGTATTTACATTATCAAGATATAAATATGACCTTAAATGAAAATAAAACATTTTAAAAATCAGCAAAACAGATTTTAAGGCTTTGCCTAACCAGACAAAGTCCAGATTAAAATGGTCGTGCAAAATATATTCATCAGAAGGCACCAAGTTTGTTGAAGTTTATCATGCATACTCAAATCTTATCTCGAGACTTTGGATAAATAAATATGTGAATTCAATGTTGCTGTTTTTTTACATTTCTTGACACATAACAGCACTTTACAAAAACTGTAAAAGGAATCTATATAAAAATCAACAGCTCTGGACGACACAAAATTTGAATCTAAACGTTTTGAAGAATAATGACATCTGAATAAATCGTGTTTTTTTCTTTAAATGCTGATTCATTTTGCGGTCGTTTCCATGCCCTTACAGCAACATATTAAATTTAAAAACAGCTCATAATCGCCTCTTATGTCACATGGCTTTTAATTTTATCTTTGTGCCCTTTATAACTTGGCAAACGATTGGTTCCATTCCAGCCCGCTGGCTAAAGGAGAGGCTTGATGATGCAAGTATATTAATTATTAGGCAGTTTTTCCCTAACGTGTAATGGGCCAAGGCACATTTTACACGAGAAAACTCACCGTACACCACTAAGTAAAATGTCACAAGTTATAAATACTATATACTGAAATAAATATTCCATATTATAGTATTTAATTAAGGCAGCTACTTAAGTGAGTCAAAAGTTTAGAAAACATTTTATGTTTTAGATTGTATGTTTTTTTTTTTAAGTAACTTGATTTGTGCTGTAATAATAGACTAAGCTGCGTCTGCGCGATGCATTTTGGGAAGTTCAATACTACTAACTTGTGTACAAGCATGTTGTATTTACACCGCGATGAACGCACGCTAACAAGTCACAAAGGGGGTGTGGGGGAAAGGCACTCTTTTTCATCCGGGGAATAGCGCGACCTCACGGGGGGGAAGTTAGCGGGCCGTGCGCCGCTCTGATCGGACTGCCGTAGTCGGCCGCACCGCAGCTGCTACGATGTGTGTCTGCCGCTCCACGAAGCTCCGCCGGGGAAGTGAGCCGTTCACCGGATGATGGACAGGAACTACCCGAGCTCCAGCTTTGCGGACGCGCTGGCTCCGGCAGCACAGCCCGCAGCTTCTTGGGCCTATGGCCGCGGCTCGGCTACCATCAAGCCGAGGTAGGTGATGGATGGAGGGAGGTGGGGAGGGTGGGTCACCTTACCAAGGAAATGTCGGTGATGGAGGGCCTAGCTGTTCTCTTGAGGGAGTACAATCTATTGAATGGCGTCTTGGCGAAAAACAGAACAGCATTAAAAGAATTCAAACATCGTGTACCAACTTTTGGCTAAGTTGTGAGCGGGTTTCTTATTGGTTATGAATGCGTTCTATAGTGCTAGTTTATACTAGCACCGCGTCTACTCTTCGTGCTTGCGGGCAGTTTTTGGTAAACTATTTTTTGGTATACATATATTATGTGGTATCCTAAATTTCTGTGGTATTGACCAACTATGTTTTTTTTTTCTCCACTCACAATTCAGTAACGTCTCTGAACAGTCACAACAATAAGAGCTTTAATTTAGCTTCAGTCCCTAAGGGAGCGATAGTGCGATGTGCCTTAAATTGACATATCTCGTTTACTTATGCATATAAAACAGTTAGTCGCGAGTTACTTAAAACGTAATTACTGAAGCACAGTGGAGAAGCGAGCTGTTAGGCAGCTAAAGTTAGCGAACTCATTGCAACTTCGTCACCGGTAATAGGAACCAGACTTGGTGACTTAAGTGTTGGTGGGTGTTGTAAATAACTCAGTTCTCCAGTGACACATTGGTGATTTGGCTCTATGCATCTCAAAAGAAACAAAGTGGGGAAAGTCATAATCATGAATTAAATGAATCCAACAGGGCTGCCGCAGAACTTGGCTTAATGTACTCGTTGCCATTTAAATTTGATGCTGCAGTTGATAAGGTGATGAAATCCTCAGGAAGACAAAGTTACTCCCAACAGCAGGGGATACACAAACTGTTGGCTGTTGCATCTGATTAGATTATATGCGAGGAAAGGTCAACTGATATGGATACGTTTTAAGCGATCTATTTATATGAAAGGTATCTGCTTAAAACCCTCATGGCAGTAACTTTTTTTTAAATATAAGATGGTGAGACGCTTGCGTCATACTTTGCAGTGCTGTACCAGAAAGAGACAACTCCCATGGACACGAATGGGTTGATAAATAACTCATCAAACTCAAGTGCTTAGAGGAATCTTGGACTAAAAACCTTGTTACTGCACCACACCAGACCGTGGCAATTCTCTGATGAAAATGTTTGCACAATCGAGACAGAATACTGTAGTTACACGATATGTTTAATGAAATTTGATCTTGTAGCAAACAGTACAGCACTGATCATTTGCAATATTTTTCATAATGCATATTTCTTTCTTTCAACTTCAGTGCTGTGTAAATAAAGATGTATTTTAACTCTGTTCATTTTTTAGCAATTCCTGCACAGGGTGGAAACAGGTATCATTTAATTGTGTTTTTTGTGCATTCAGTTCCAGTTATGGTGCAGCACAACTTGATGCAGGGCTCCTTCAGCGGCAGAGCTACACTTCAGTGCAGCAGCTCCCCACCTACACTACAGCACATCTTGCTGCCCCTACAGGTGATTGTGAAGCATTTCGTTTTGATATTGACCCTTCTCAGGTTAGAAATTCAATGAAACCTAAGAGGTAGCACACAATCCACTGTGTGTGTCTGGGACAAGACTCTCACAAGATTCTGTCAATGACATCATGCAAGATCACAGCTTGACCTCTGAAATTTTGTGCAAACGTTTGCCTATTTTCAGTATTTTTTTTCTAAATTCTGACTGATTTTGGAGGTTACACTTGGTTTAGTTTTGAGAGTGCATTGTTATTTTCAAAATAAGTCATTAGCATTGTCCTAATTTCCCCTCATCTTTCTCTTGTTGATTTGCAGGAGCACTTGACACAAACATTAATACTTCGGAGACCTCAATCATGAGCTTCCTTTCAGCCATGGAGACAAGAAGTCCTGGTAGTGTCTCGCTAGTTCCTCCTTTTCGACCACCATCATGGACTGCAGGTGGAAACACATTTTCCCTTCTCAGAACGATTTCGTCATCCGTAATAAACTACGAGAGCAACAAATGTTATATTTGACCACAAATGTAAACGATTGCCTTCCAACTGCTGATACTATGAATGTGTGCAATGCAGGTACCAACTCCTCCAGCACAGAGCTATACCTGACTGGTGCTTTGCCTTCTACCGCCACATTTCCTTCTCCAGCTGCTTTGTCAAGCTATCAACACAGCGGTCCATATACTTCCAAGAGTTATTCCACCAACTCTTCCATGGCTCTCCAGGATCCAGCCCTCAGCACTTCCACCAATAGTCTATTGTCTCATCCCGACTCCCTCCTGCAAGTCAAACCGAGCCAAACCGTGCTTCCACCTGCCCTGGCTTTCAGCCTTTCTGGACCTGTTTTGGCCTCAACTCTGCCAGTCCAGTCCTCCACATACCGTTCAGCTCAGGAGTCAGCCCCCCACCTCCTACAACCACAGTTCAGCCTTCTGCCATCAGCCCTTCCTGCTCCTAATAGTGCCTCACAATCCTGTGGGACCACCGTTTTCTCAGGCTCCGTCGAGAGAGCACTTCAGCGAGAATGTAGCGTGATCAAACACCACCAAAGGCCTTCTACGAGCCACATAGCCTCAGAGCAAATACCCAATGCTGAGGACTCCTTACAGGGCTACTATGGCTCTGGTAATGAGGGAAGCATGTCCTACCGACATGACCAATCCCGCGAGACCCCGGAATCTTGCAGCCCTTCCACAGAAAAAGATTCATCTCACAGGGTCAATGGTGCCCTGCAACACAAAGCGGACTCAGTCACTCAAAGCTATTCATGCACCACAGTGCCGACAACTAAAGAGTATTCCTCCAAATTAGCTTCTGCAGCCCATGAAGAGAACCGCGGACTTCCTCAGAACCTAGCATCACAGTCCCCTGAGAGTTTTTCCAACCCTGGGCAAAAGCAGAACTCTGTAATTGGCAACCAACTATCCAACCTTATGTCCAGCACTCTGTCCCAAACCTATATCACAACGCATACCCAGTCCCAGCCCTCTAATTCTTCATCAGGCAATTTGTCCTCCCTTTACAAAACACCACCTTCCCTGTCGAGTCTCTCCGAATCTGGGGCATCTGCGAGTCGGGCTCTTGTTTACTCGTCAAGTCCAGGGCTGAACCAAGGACAGTATGGTGTCCAGGCTCAGGGTTTGTGTCAGGGGACTCTCTCGGGGAGCTATCCCTCATCTCACTCTCAGACTGACCTAAATGTGACTTACACGTCAGAATCACAGGAGCAGGCTTCAGTGACTCAGTCCCAGCGCTATGCCACAGTACAACCCATGAATCCCTCTTACCAACCCACCTGTGGACAGAATCTGTCCACCTCTGCACAGGACTACACCCTGATGCAAGGCTCTGTGGGGAATAAAACACTTCCTGTCACCATTTCCCAGCAGGCAACAGTGCAGACGAAGCAAATTTATGAGACTGTGTCTGCTGCCTACCCGCCAACTACCGAAACTTTGGGTAATGATATCAGCTCACCATTAAAGGACATCAAGCCAACATATGGCAAACCGACATTTGAAGAACTTCCTATCCAGGAGCTACAGGCTCTCCAACAAGCACCCATGGAGGGCTCAGTTGCAAACGGCACCACGGCAGCTCCCGACAATGTCATCTACGTTGTTTCAAAAACGGACGACCTCCACAAAACGCAAAGCGTCATCAGAGACGCTTCGCATTCTCATGACCATCTTACACAGCTGAACACAGCACAAATAAGGGAACAAAGAATGAGCTCCCTAAGTCAACAGCACAGTCACCTCAGTTGTATCAATGGACAGGAAAATGGCAATCCAAAAACAACCAACTCCAGTATTATATCTTCACATGTGCTTCTTAGCCCGGAACCACTTAAACAGCATCCTGTCCTCATCAAATCATCCGAGGCGCAACAACAAAACCAGCAGGACCACACCCACTTTATCAGCGTCCCGAGTGCTCAGGTTCTCTTGGAGCCGAATCAGATGATTTTTCTTCAGCAGCCCCTTGTGCACAATTCCCAGATGTCCTCAAAGGTCATATCAGTGCAGGGTCTTCAATCAGCCCAGGGCTTGGGCCCTCTTAATATCCAGTACCTTCAGATGGATCGGGAACTCCTGTGTCCCAATGTCACCGGAAGCCAAAGTCAGCAGGCCGCAGTCGTGTCTGAGCAGAGCTCAGGTTGCTCCGAATCTTCTAAAGACCACTACAGCCAGTCAGGTGTTCACCAGTCAAATGATGCTAAGAACCACTTTGCTCTTAACTCCCTTTGCTTCTCGGATTCCATGTTACTCGCCGACGAGAGAAATATTTTATCAAACGTCGACGATATCCTGGCTGCTACTGTGGCCGCTTGTGGCGTCACCCCTCAAGACTTTGTCAAAGGTACGTCCTCCACAGAAGTTCAAATGGTAGCGATGGCAAGTCCTGTTGATTCCAAGAATCCCTTTCAGACGGTTGGTATAACACAAATGTCACCGAGTTTCTCGATAGCTCAGCAGAAGATCCTCACAGACACTAACTCTCACTCCGTGGCCATGACACTAAATCGTGCACAGATCTCCACAGACCGCCAAGGACAGCCCGTTCACCACTGCAACAGTTCTGATCTCAACGCAAATGGGGATGGCGAGAGCTCTGAAAACGACTATCCCTCAGCAGGACAGTTTTATGACCCCTCAGGTTTCCACAGCAGTGTCAAAATGGATGCAACGTGTCTTAAAACTGAGAACAACACCACAGAGTGCCAAAACATACAAGAGTTACCCAAAAAGGATGTCGACTCGAAGGCTTTAACAAGGCCAGAGGGTTCCGGAGAGGATAATGGACCACTTAAACCAGCCAAGCGCACTGGGCCGGCAAAGGGGCCTAACCCCAAGGGCGGCGACCCCAGCCCATCTCCTTCTCAAAGTGTCTATGACGGTTGTCCACAGCAGGAAAGGATCAGGCAGAAGATTCGGGAAGTGGAAGCCAAGCAACCAGAGGTGAAAACTGGTTTCATTGGGTCTTTTTTGGACTTCATCAAATCTGGCCCCAAACAGCAGTACTCCCCAAGTCCTTCAAGAACCGTTAGCCGCTCCAAAAAGCCTGCGACCAAACCACCACCGTTTGTTTTTCCTCCTAAAATTCAGAGTGTGCCAGCTTCTCTGAGTTCCCAGCAAAGTCAAGTCGTGAGCTCCCAGCAGAAACGTCTGGATGAAGAGTTGCAAAAGAACTTGGAGACATTGCCAACCTTTAGCTCCGATGAAGAAGAGCACACGGGAAGAAACCAGGCACTGAGGAACAGCATCAGCTCGGTGCTCTCTGCTCTTGATGAGCCTTCAGAACGGAAAGCCAAGCCAGGTATAGGAACACAATGCATTTATTTGAATTGAGGCCGTTTTAGTTACTCGAAAGTCCTCTGTGCACCATGGCCATACTAAATCTATGGAAAAATATGATACATCAATCAAACACATTATAATAGTATTTGTGGGTTAAATGTTTCGGGGGGTGGGGGGGGTTTATAGCCGCTCCTCTGAGGTGTAAAATAGTTTTTAGACTCGCATAGTAAGCTGGATGGTGTGTGGAGTTTGCATGTTCTTCTCGTGCCTGTGTGGGTTTTCTCCGGGTACTCCGGTTTTGTCCCACATTCCAAAAACATGCATGGTGGGTTAATTGAACACTCGAAATTGTCCCTAGGTGTGATTGTGAGTGTGAATGGTTGTTTGTCTTCGTATGTGCTGCGATTGGATGCCAACCAGTTTGAAAACAGCTGGGATAGGCTCCAGCATGCCCGCAACCCTCGTGAGGATAAGCGGATTGGAAAACGGATGGATGGATGCATGGATTGATGGTGGGCTGGATCAAATGTTCCTTCTGCCTTCAGGTCCTCACCTAAACTAAAGATGGACTTTTGAAAACCTTTATTTCAATGACCGAAGGAATGTCTTATTTAATCTTCCTGCAGATAACCACGACCCCAGTATGGTGCCAAAACCAGTCCCTGTTCCCACAGTGCCACTCAGCATCACAGACAGCCGCTTGCCACTACTTCCCACGGCTTCTCAAACGTCAACCACAGACACCACAGTAGCGACATCTACGATCAAGCAGGAGCCCACCGCAACACCGCCCGGCCAGCTCGCTGTTCAGTTAGTAAGCGTGGCAATCGAGGGACTGACGGATGAGGAGCTGTCGGACAGTGGAGGCGAAGGAATGTATCGGGAAAGAGACGAGTTTGTTGTGAGGAATGAGGATATTGAGACCTTGAAGGTATACAAATAATTGCAAATGAAGCAGTGTTCCAGAAAGTACATTTGAATGCTACATAAGTGAATGCCCCAATTTCAAGAAATACTGTATTTGACTTCTCTCAGTCTTTGAATAAATTCTGGATGTATGGTGTGATGTCACCAGGGGACAATGCGTGCAGGAAGTGAGCCTCCCGCCATCTGGAAAGTCCAGAAGGCTTTGCTGCAGAAATTTGTGCCTGAGTTAAGAGAAGGCAAGCGCGTCTTCTCTGCTACTAACAGTGTGAGTAAGCATGCATTCCTCAAATAAGTGTCATATAAAATAAACACCATCTGTCATTGTCTTAGATTCGTATTTCTTGACCAACTCTATATTGATGGCTAAAATGCAAAATCAGATTTTTTTTTAACCAGGCAAAAAAAAACGTTTCAGATAATTTCCTCACTTTTTTCCACGTGTGTATTGTACTGAATGTCAATTGGGTATTATGCTCATCTACGACTACACCTCTAGTTGAGTCTAATTCAACATGTTTTGTTTCTTTGTGTAGTATCTTGGATACTTTGGTGATGCTAAAACGATGTATCAAAGGGTCTATGTGAAGTTTCTGGACACTGTTAACAAAAGGGAATATGTTCGAGTGTGCAGTCGGAAGCCACGCTGCAAGCCCATGAACTCACTAAGGTGTGTTAATACTGCTGACTTTGGAGGGTTGAGGTTAGTTTCTGGCATGTCGGATGCGTGATGTCATCCTTTTTTCTGCTTCGCAGGGGCATTCAAGTGAAGACTTTGCTGGGCTTGACGGCCGGCACCGTCCCGTCATCTCCAAGCCCAAAGCCTCGTCCCAAATTACTCAAGCCAAGGGCAGAGCCCCCACCCAAGAAGAGGAGAAAATGGAAGGAGGCGTTGACACCCGTTGCCTCGGGATCATCCGCAGAAGAAGATGGTAAAGAATCATTTTAATTGTTCTCAGATTGGGAGGTTGAATTGGGATAGGACTGAGGTCCAAATTTGTTTCTTGCTTCCTTGTCTTGCTCCCGTAGAGTTAAACCCCCCTGTGCCTTTTGCTTCACGACTTCTCAACACACGAACTATGAAGGAGACTTTCAGGAGCTTTGTGGAGTTACTCATCAGTGTTGCCCTCAACGAAGATGTGATGACAGAACTTGAGCGAACCAGTGGTAAATTGCCAAAAGACTCTATTCAGCTCAGTATATGACAGAGATGGTTTCCCTCCGGGGGTCTAATATCGCCTGCCCTGTCACGGCCACAGATGAGCTGCTGTTGCCACATCTGAGAAGGATGGAGGGCTTAATCGGTGATAACAGGAAACGCTTGCTTCACAAACTGCACATTGAGCAAGTCCTCAAGGTGGGTTGGTTCGATTGTTGCCATCTGGTGATACAGAGAAGCAGCAGCTTGTCGCTGCCAGGCTGTTTGCAGCAATACACTGACTGAAGGGAACTCCAAATTTAACTTGCCTGAAAATTGTAAAAATACATAAAAAACTATATCGAAAAAAATCTGTGATATAGTGCTGGCACGAACGATGAACTGCAATATAGCAGAATATCTTAATGTGATCACGTCTTCTGTATTTAGACAGCACTGGATAGATTCCCAGAAATTTCGGTGGTCACAGAGCTGAAAAATGATGGGGAAATTCCCGCCTTCAAAGTGCGACTTGGTGGGATGGCTTACAACAAGAAGACCATGAAGCCTGACAAGATGTCGAAAGAAGTGCCACAAGTAGGAGACTTATATTTATTTTGTTAAGAGAGAATAAAGAGTAAGCGTGAAGCGAGTGTACAGTATTGTTGTTTCTTTTGGCCAAAATGTCATTTACAACAACAAAAACTGAAATCAGTCAAATGTGGTTCATGATATCTGGTCAAATTGTGCTATTACCAGCGTCCAAAGACAGTCGGATGTCATCTTTTTGGCAAACATTGAATTTTAGTGTAATGGAGTTATAAAGGTTGGGAAAAACTACCTGTTCCCGCATTATTTGCGGTGGATACGTATCAAGCCCTGCCGCAAACGATGAAAATCAGCCTATATGTTCCACAAAATAGTGTTACTTCTGTCTAAATGAAACTCACTTCATAAGAGTCCCTTGTCACCAGGATGCCACAAAATGGTGTCAAATCACTAAATTTGTCGAAATTAAGCTCAATTCAGTTAAACATATTTCCACTTCCCTGGCACCATGATGGCGCCAAAGTAATACTGTATTTTTCAGACTAGAAGTCGCTCCGGAGTATAGGTCGTACCAGTCAAGAAATGCATCAGACTGAATTTTCAAATGCACACCGTTTTTCTTTTTAGCTTAAAATTGCTTATCTGAACTAGAATTTCATGTGGCATTTTGGCCACAGGCAGAATCTTGGTCTGTTATCGCACCCTTTGGTGCAATCTTTTTTGTGGAGTAAGGAAGCAGCATGCTAAACTAGCAGTACGTCACACGTTGGTTGCCATGACTACTACTACTTCTTCCATTTTTTTCCAACTTTCTTTGGTGCATTACCGCCTCTATCTTTCCACCGGCAAAGCAAGTCAACAAACACATTTAAGTCAGATGGATTTTGGGTACCAGTCCGAGCTCAAATTTTAATATATCACTGGCGTCAGGCCGAATCCTCAGAGCTCCAAAATCATCACTTCTCAGGATTCCACAAAAATGGCACGGTTGTTCAATCAGCAACAGAGCAACACAAAAACTATTTTTTTTCAGCAAATAACGGAGGAAAGGGACCACAAAAAGGTTAATATCAAACCGGGAATATAGGAGATACAGGAGAATAGGACCCCACCCCCCCCATGTCTCTGTCCTCAGCTCCTTTTAGCACTCTTGTATATGGCTGCGAATTTAAAATCTGTCCAGCAGATGGTGCAATCCGCACATCATTTACCACATAATGTCTTTTTGCTTGTGTAGGAGTACACAGTGGAGCAACAGAAAACCCAGTGGTTCTCGCTGTACCACTCTCTCCAGCACTACAAGTACCACACATACCTCATGTGTAAGGATGAGGTGAGACGCTTGTTACTGCAGTTGATCATTGCTTTATTGCGGCCTTTCATTATCATCACGGTATCTGTTCTCTAGATCGCCATCCAGCGGGTGCAGGCGGGTGAGCTGGGGCAGGAGGAAACCGTGCAGAAGTGCCTGCGGAATGGAGCTTGGCTGGAGGGGCTCTTTGATCGTTTTGTGGAGCTGATAAATCAAGTGCAGCAGGTCTGCCGATGAACAGCCTCAGATTCCAAAAACACTCATAAACTTGATGACTTGCCCTTAAACTACAAAAGGATCCTAGCAATATCGTGCCAATGAGGCAAAGATGTATGTTACACACGCCTATGGAACTGAGGTCTTAATATGAAGACTAATGGAAACTAGTCTTCGCCTCCTTTGTCTTGACAGAAAGCACCAAGAGACGACAAGGGCTTTTGTTTTGGGAACTTTCTCCTCAATAAGCTCCTCCCAGTCTGTGTTTGTTACCACAGACCCTTTTTTTATTGGTCACGATTATAGATTTATAGTTTCTATTTTTTTAGCCAGATTATGATTGACACTAGATAGAAATTAGATGGCTGACAGATCTAACAAGCTTTTGTCATTTGTTTCGATTAGTAGGTTCAAATACAGACAAGCTTATTGATTGTAATACAAAATATATATATTTAACCTTAGTTATATACTGTTTGTAAAACATCCCCTTTTTAAGTGTGCCAACTCACATGGTTATTCATGATATATAGTGTACATTTTGTATAAAAAAAATAATAAAGCAGGTGGAAGTATTGCTAACAAAATACTGTATCTACTATTCAGTTCAACATTTTGCTTATAAGAGTCATTTTTATGAATATTGTTTTTCTGAGGGTAAAGTACAGCTGTCTTTATACTCCTTTGCATAGCTCCGATTTTAATGATGAATAGATTTCTATTTTTCACAGAAGTAAATATTATTCTCTACTTTTTTCATTGTTTACCAACAACGGGCAATTTTGAAGGTCACTTTCATGCTCTCAAATATTCTTGGTTTCCCAAGATGCTGATTGTTAATAAAGTGCCATATGTATGACTTTGATTTTTATTTTCTGTGTGGAAATTGTTGCCATACGGCAGGCTAAACCACCATTCCTTGTAAACAAGCATTTAGGGATATCATTTAAAGATGCAGAGAGGTGAAGGAACATGACGTGAAAGTGCACGGAGAACATCTCAAAATAACCAGAATTTACATGCCCAACTGGTTTTTTGTTTTTGACACTCGTGCCACATTGTGGTTCGATAAAACGTTCCGCAATAAGCACAAGAGTGATCAGAGTTTTTCCCTTGCAGTGAAAATAAGTGTCAATTGCCAGATGTGTGGGTGTGAGTTGCTGACGAACTTGTTCGTGATTGTCAAGTTCAGTCCAGGTTGGTTGCGCCGCATGGTGTGCAGGTGGCTTCAGAAAAGTACCGTTTGTGGATTAAATGTCGATTCCATCCATCCATGCATGCATCCATTTTCAAGACCGCTTATCCTGAATGGGGTAACATGGGATTTGCTGCAGCCTATCCCAGTTGACTTCGGGCAGAAAGCAGACTACACCTTGGCCAGGCACATATAGAGACGAACAACCACCCATACCCGCATCCACACCTTCACTGAGTGGGGAACCGATCCCACGCCGCCCGCTCACAAGTCAGGCGAGTGTAGAACTACACCACCAGCAACTTAAATGTGTCCTCCTTTATTAAAATCCTGATTTGAATGCACTGAATTCCAATTCATTTAAATACATGTGTTTGTGACCCACAACAGAGAGACATTCCGCAGCAACCTGGACTGGGATTCAAAGGGATGATACACTTGAATGGTTTGAAGAGAGTAGGTTGCTGCTTGCTCTGTAAACAATCAGTTTTGTATGCAGAGTAAAAACAGACACAACTACATGCACATTAAATGTTTTTTTCTTCTTCTTTGAAGTGTGGTTCTTATTGAGAAACACTGATGAACCAACGCTGTCCAACATGATGCTCTCCCTTAGTGTTCTCATGATCAAACTATTCACTGTTGAATAAAACATGACCATCAGAGGGCTGCCATAACGCAAAATGACTGTCAGCTCTTTGAGAAACAAACACGCATCTGTGCTTGATGTGAGGAGAGCCTCTGTCCTCCGGCGGGAGGCGGACAGCAGCCAACCAGTCCGCCATTCCGCTACTGGTCCAACTGGTTGAGACAGATGCTGGACTTCTGCTGTCTACACAAATTGTAATGAGCTGCTTTGTTCCCAAAGTGGGAGAAGCGAGGGGTGGGGGGTCCCTATAGAGACGATGTGAAAAGGACCGTCTGGGAAAAGACGTCATCAGCTTAGTTATGTTCCACTGACATGTTCATTGCGTTTTAAAGGTCGGATTCAGGAGTTCGAACGTGCATTTCGATTGCCAAACTCACCTCCTGATGCAAAGGATCTGAACTGATAACTTTGTGCTGCATACTGTATCTGCCACGATATTCATTTTCCATTCTAAAGTACGTGTTCATTATTTTTGTGTCATCATTTTATGTCCATGAGCCAAAATATGTCGCAATAAATGATTCTGTTGTGTCATAAAAAATCAGACGTGCACCAATCAAACAAAAATAACAATACATACCTTAGCTATGGGACAATCAAAAACACAGATATGATTGTGAAATATCATTTTTTTCAAGAATGTGTTTTTTTTTTGTTTTCTGTACATAGATGTGTCTGCACCAGAATAAAAGGCCTGATGTTAGGAGTATAAAGTTTTAAAAATTCACTTGAAATTACTTTCTTTCATCGTTCATCTTTGACTGAATTATTATATATATATATATAATTTTTTTTTTGCGAGTTATCTGCTATTTGAAGACAACCCGTTGAAGTCTATCATCTTTTGAACACAGACACTTACCCTCTTACAACTTTGTTCTCGTTAAACAATATACAATACATCTTTATTTATATACGATTAAGACTGGCTTTGACAAAATATGTATTTCTTAATGGAAATATTAAAAAAAATACAGCATTGTTCTCACATTACAAATTGATGACTTTTTGATCATGAAAATAGGCAACCTTTTATAGCATTTAGAAGAACATTTAAGTACGTTGAATTATGCTTAATTGGCGTTCCGGTAATGAGCAGGGAAAATGTGTTGCCCTTCAGCTGATGTGTGGTGCCTTAAGACACAGTCGTATTGTACGGCACGTACAACTTGTATTTATTATTGTTATTTATTCATTCTCCACTGACGGACTGAGAGAAATCACAGGGTTCTAGTGAGTCTTGTGGTTGAAGTTACCACTTTTGGTTCCTTGCATGAGAGAGTTTCCTAGTACACAATGTAGCCTATATCAAGTAAGTTATAGCTGCGGAGACTGCGTCGGGTTGATTTGCATTTGAAGGATAACAAAGACAAAAGAGTCATGGGTTCTGTTTGCAGGCAATGAAACAAGAGGCCATTAACGATTATATATTATTCATATTAACCAGACTGCCTTTTTTCTTGTGTTTGGATGAAACGATTTTCCCTTCACCTTTTTTGGCAGGCTTACAAAATACAGGTATGTGGGAGTTCTTTGGGAAAGTTGTAAAACCTGTTTTGCTTTAAACCACTTGGCTTCCCGCTCGCAAAGGTAGAGTTACATTTCCTCTCAGGTGTGAATGTGACATGAGGACGGAGAGAAGCGCCTTATCAAACTCGTCACGGGAAAGGTGAGTGCGGAAATTTACATATCCTAAGCCTGATACATGTAGTTGCCTGTAAGTCATATTTCAGCGTTTTTTTGGGGGGGAGGAAAAGTACGACAAACACTAAGTGTCCGCTTGTTTTAATTCAACCTTCGTGGATTATATTATTGTGACCTGGATTACAGGCAAACAACATAGGACAACAGTTGATGGACTCCTCATGTCTGTTTCTGACTTTTACATGTGGCTGATCCCAGATCAGATTGACAGCCTTTATTTGGCATCCATTTCTTAAAGTGGTTTTGAAGCGATTTATGTCAATTATCACCAAAACGGTAGCCTTCTTAGACCATGTACCACTATCACGACCGACATTAAAATATCGTGTTACAACATGTACCGAAATAATAGTTTAAAAACAAACAGCTAACCTAACTGTACGTAGTTGCAGCCTGTCGTGGTGGACAACTGCAATGATTACACTAAGGGCTGTTTGCAATATTTTGGTAAAATGGTCACCCAAATATTAGACACACCTGTTGAAGTAAAGGCACGCATTCTGCGCCGCTGAAAACAGTGTAAAAAGAGCATAATTACTTTTGCAAAGGTAATTTTTTCCCCTGATACAGCTCTCGTACCAATTGTAGCTCCTTTCATTGTTCAGCTGTACCTAATGAAATGCCCGGCGAGTGTAAACTTTACCACATTCAGTACTTTACTTGTTTGAATGTGTGTTTTTTGTTTGAATAAAGGGTGTTCGTATTTAGATTCTTTTTTATCGTTTATATGTAAATAATTAATCTGAAGCTTGGAAGGTGGTAAATAAAGGCCAACGAACCTTTTATCGCAATTTCTTAACTGAAAGAGGAGGGGCTTTGATGAAAGAGCTCCTTACGTTGCATTCCGCCATGACGCAGGTTGCTGATTGGCTCATGAATACTCAATAAGGAGGAGGAGACATTTTGGGGGTCTGGGTTCGAGTGCGGGATTTCCCGTCACTTGCGTTTAGAGCGAGGAAGAAGAGGGATGGAGTGTTGAATGGCTTCTGTCACTGGTGTAAACTGCAGGTAAACGCTCGGCATTAGGATTTTAAAACATTGTCTCTCTCTTCTCTCTGTCTCTTTCTCTTTCCCTGCCTGATTTAAAATGTCATTTTTCGTGCTCACCTGAGTTTGGTTGACTCCTTTTATATCAAAGGCGTGCGTCAGTTTCCAACCGTTTTACCTGAAGTTAAAATCGCTTTTTGCTACTCTAAATGCTACGCTCGTGTAAATATATATAAATAGATATTTTTTGCAAATTATAAAAACAAAAATACATCCCCTTGTTCAAATCAGAGGACCAGTTTGGCATGTATTTACTAATTCTTGTTAATTCTTCAATCTTATACAGATTGACCTGCTTTGTGGCAGTGGTTGATGGCCAGTTAAGAGTTTTAAGTCTGAAAGATATTAGACATTAAGTTGAGCTTTTTTGGAGGGTTATTGGCTCCTTGGCATGTGACAGACTCGACATTTGGAGGTTTTCAAGATATTAGCCGTTGTTTTGTTGTGTTTTACGTGCAAACATTTGAGATGAACACTGTATCGTGACAGTGAACCCACCTTATCTTAATGCTAACAAGCATTATAAAACGCCACAGACGGTGTAATGAATAGCATCTTTGTTGTTGTTATTATGATGATGATGATTATTATTATTAGTAGTAGTATTATTACACTCACAGTGAAGCACACATGTAGACAGGCAACACAACAATACTTGTAGGCATGTATTCTTTATCCTCTGCAAATAATGAAAATATTACTTCAGTTCATTCCAGTTATGACCAATGTCTGAAACAAAAACAAAAAAACCCTTAAACCTATTTTAACTAATAAGACAAGATGAACGTCATGGCGTTATTTGAGTATTGTAATGCAGTAATTTAAATTGACCTATGCTTCTGTTGTGTGACTCATTATTAGCATGGGGTATTTAGGGTTAGAAAAAACCCCACACTTACACAGGTGACACAAGGTAAAAATGCCTTAACACAACGGCTCCTGATGCGAGGATTCAAATGTCAGCGGGCCAATGGCAGCGAGTCCACAGTTTGCCTCGGCAGCTTAATCTCACTTGTTCTTGCATGCTCAAGGAATGAAGATTATCTGCACACCAACTGTTAATGGCCTGATGCCATGTGATCGCTGTGCGGCTTGCTTGAGGTCCTACTAGACTATTTACTGCAGTTATGATGATGATGATGATGATAATGATGATGATGATGATAAGGCTGGTGCTGCGATATTCACTAGGGGGGAAAAAGCCTCTTGTGTTGATGACATTTGTCTCCCTCTGCAATTATTTACCTTCACTACTGTGGGCAAACACTGCTGCACTCTTGCTCTCTACCTGCCATCACAACAGCAATCATCTCAACTGGCTGGCTCTGGGTCCTACATGAAGTCTTTTTGGGTGTCGACCATCATGAGCGACGTTGTGTGGCCCTGTGCATTCATGATATAATGTAGTTTTAGTGATTGTTTCAAATTTTGCATGTTTATACTTTACAAATGCATTCATGGCTAGGACTTTGAACTCTTAACATCACTAAAGTCAACGGCTTGCCACTGCATACATTAATATTAATGCTTCAAAGAGGAGATCAATTCCAATATTAATACAATATTTATTTAGCACTGCCATTCCGACAGTTCACTCCATCATTTATTGATTAGTTAAATAGTGAAACTGACTGTTTGCTTGTGAAGACATCTTTTGATGGGCTGCCATCGAATCAAACAAAAACAAATCAATAAAAATAGCACCCGTCATTAGTTTTGCCTAGTCGTATGCTGTATTCCGACGTGTTACAACGGTAACAACACAGTGCAGTAAAATGTCTTGGTCTTGAGCACAGCCGGGTTCCTTGGATTGTTTTGACCCACACATGACCCCCGTCCTCACCACCCTTCCTCTTCCGACACCCTTTTTTTCTTTTTTAGTCTTTAACAAGAGTTAATGGAAATTGATCAGATCCGGATTTATGCATTCATTAGTAATCCAGGGAATCCTGTGGATTATCCAGATGGCCCTAATTTCTAATTGAAAGGATTTTCATCTGATAACGTCACTAAGACTTTTCTTCTGTAGTTTGCATTAGCTGTTACTGTATATACAGCTTCTCTATACTCTCTGCATGAATGTTTGCTTGTATAGTATGCTATGGTTTCGTATGGTATGGTATCGGCTACTGGTTTTACGTCCATAATGGAATAAAAATCACCCAAATCTTGCAGGACAAAAGTCATTCACTCGGCGTCCAGTAAACCGTTGGTCAGGGATGCAATGTATTGTATGAGGTTAACCATAGGCACTTTCGGTATTAGAAGTGCCAATATGAACAGAGTGATTGAATATGTGATTGTCTTATTATGATTATTTTATGTGTTGTGTACAGCACTTTTGTTCCTGCTGTTGCGAAAGTGCTATAAAAAGTTCAGCTGAGTTGAGCTGAAAATCAAAGTGGTATTGTAACGGCAAGATGTTGCGTACAGGTTTTGTGATGGGTCTCACTAAATCATGCACGTGTACCTGATTTTGTGCCTGCTTGGTGTATCGTACAGTGTTGCCTGGAAATATGAGTTTGATTTGTTACGTTACTACGCTTAGAAAAATCATACAGTGATACAGACGTAGTTAAGTACAATTGGTTTGCAACCTGTTCAGGGTGTCCCCCGCCTACTGCCCGTAGACAGCTGGCATAGGCTCCAGCCTGCCACGCGACTCTTGTGAGGATAAAGCAGATCAGAAAATGAATGAATGAATGGATGGATACTTAAGTACAATCTGAGGAATCACACATTTTGCCATATTTTTTACTTGAATTCAATGGACATTGTATTGCCTCTTCTTGCAACTGAGTCAGTAAGCTGCATTTTTTTGCAGAAGATAAAGAATATATGCAAGTGAGAATTTTATTGTTTGTGCTGCGCCACCGTTTGTTTTTAAATATCAGTTGCTTGGATGCCATTCGTCAATCCCGTTCTATGGCTTTTTGCATCGTTTGCTAACATTAAGCTAAATGGACTTTATTGAGGCTGTTTGAGATACACATTGTACAGTTCTCTGTGTTTTATGTATAGTTTGGTAGTAAACTGGAACAGTTTAAAGAATTGTTCACCATCTGCCAAACTGCTTCTTGTTGTGACGTGAGTCAAGTGCAACCCTACAGCACTCCTATCTCAAATATTTGCGTTTAAGCCAAGCAAAAAAAAAAAACTAAACAAAAAACAATAAATAATGACTGATCTTGAAAAAGTCGTAAAATGCTTCAGTTGTATCTCAAAGTACCACAAAAAATGGTAATCTGTTGTGATTTACATAATACTGTACATCAAAAATAATTATCCCTTCACTTAATAAAAAATAGCTAATTCATACTGGCAAAAAGGTGCCGCAACTTGACTGTCGTTTTGTCCAAGGTTCGACATTAACTCTAGCAGGTCTGCCTGCATGCAGTTGCTCTCCAAACTGCTTTCTAGTTGTTGTCACAGCTGCGTCGCAATCATGTCAGGTTATATTGTCATAACACAGAGCGGAGCTGCAACCGTGAGGGACAGTGATGTATAGCCCCAGGCTGCCCCCCCGTTCCATAACATTTGCTCTACTGGCTTACGATGCTCCCCGTGGTGACCTGAAAGCTATTCTGACATCTCATGTGGGGACACTCTGCTTTCTTGTGATGACCGACACAACTGTTTAAGACAATTGACTTCAAAGCTCAAGTAGGAAGGTTGTTAGACCGTCTTACCCTTTTTTTTTTTCTTACGACATATTATAGTGTCGTTGCATTTCCACGACGCCTAAGGATTGATTTGTTAAATAATTGACCATCACAAAAGATTTAGATTTCGAATACATAGTGTGGCCCGGTGCGTCAGTGGTTAGCACGGCGACCTCACAGTGCAGAGGTCGTGGGTTCAATCCTGGCTCCGGCCTTTCTGTGTGGAGTTTGCATGTTCTCCCCTGTGTGGGTTTTCTCCGGGTACTCCGGTTTCCTCTGACGTTCCCAAAAACATGCATGAGAGGCTGATTGAACACTCTAAATTGTCCCTTGGTGTGAGTGTGAGCGTGGATGGTTGTTCGTCTCTGTGTGCCCTGCGATTGGCTGGCAACCGGTTCAGAGTGTACCCTGCCTACTGCCCAAAGATGGCTGGGAAAAGGGATGGATGAAATACATAGTTGATTGTTTTTAGAAAACATTTATGAATGTATTTCTCCCCCATTAAAAAAAATACATTCCCTCCTTAATATTTTATGGTGTCTAAAATTGATTCGATTAATCATTTCATCCCTTATTGCCTTGACTCAGTGGAGGTTGTGAAACACTAACGTACAGGGCGGAGCTCGCCACACTTAAGCCTGTTGATCATTTCTGCAGGACAGCGGCTTACTGTATGCCAGGAACAGAAAAATGGCTTCTTTACCGCCATCGCCACATAGTCACTCAAACCAGTTAGAGTAAGTGTTTGCTGTTCCATACCAAACTGTGGTGAGCTCAACTACACACGCTCTGTTTGAACTGCGGTGCAGTCTGGTGCATGTGTTAGCAGCAAGGAAGACCACCCACATTTTGGAATACAATATGAGGACATCTCTTGGAAGGGAGGCTTAACAGTATGTACATTGTTTCTTCATCCTTGGAGAACCACATTGTTTTTTTTTTTTTTTATGACAATGAACTCTCTGAGCTCAACATAATTCATTCCAGGAGGCTGTTCATATTTCATCCAATTTTAAATACTGTACTTATTGTGTTTTCCAATTCAGCAATGTTATTTTTTATGTATCTGACCCGACAAAATAGCCCGGAAAAAACTGTACCTTTGATGCTGATTAATTTTCTTGCACTGCATTGAATGTTAACTATTATTTGAAGTGAGCAGTTTTAACATTGAAACTGTGCACACTGATTAACCCAAATATTAAATGTACTTTTTAGGAATAAAATTTCGGCCTTGTTTTTGATTAATTCTTGCACCTAGTATGTTGCTGGATTTTAATGTTAGTCATTACTGCAGTATTTGGGGTGTTTTTTGGGATGTGGAAGGCTACTTGATTAAAAAAACAAAGAAAAAAAATGCATTCCAGTGGAATGCAAGTATCTCCAATTTTGTCACTTTTTATATCTTGCTTGCTGGAAAAAAAAACTTAAAAAACATTCTCAGTGATTCTGATGAATGAAATGAAAGCTCAAAATTTGGAGATACCGAGATATGAGAGATGCAGAAATACACTTCGCTAAGATTTTAACACAACTGTGTTCCGTCCCTCAGAGCAAGGCATGGCTGGGAAGCCATTCCGGGCCACCCAAATCTGGAGCAGCATCATCTCCAACCTCCACACCCACGTGGAGGTCAAGCGCCGGCGCCACAATCTCAAGTCCTACGAGGACTGCTTTCTCGGCTCCGAGGCCGTGGATGCCGTGTTGACGCACATTACCTTGAATCGCTTCTTTGGTGACGATGCAGTCCCTCGCCAGAAAGCCGTGCGACTTTGTCAAGCCCTGATGGACTCGAAGGTCTTTGAGCCTGTGGGCGTGAAAGTGTTTGGCAAGGAAAAGAAGCGGGCCACTTTTGAGGACAGTAGCTGTAGTTTGTACAGGTTCCCGAGCCCGCAGACGGGTTTGTCAACGCTGAACAATACCAAGTCTAACTCCACGGTAACCATAGAGAGCGGCTATGACTCTCCAGGCATAAAAAGGAACAAGAACAGCTATAATCCACTGTCTGAAAGGTAATAAAATATTATTATACATTATAATTTACTGTAAATATCATATGCTATTGGCAGATTTTGTGCTCATCTAATATAAAACTGTTGCTTTGGTGCCACCTTGTGGTGTGTTGGCGTCAGGCCCTATGTGAAGTGAGGGGAAAAGCTCCATTTCAACAGGCCATTGCCCTGTCTAATGGAAAAGTAGCGCTTTCTTTGAACAAGCTACTTTTTTTTCAGGGTTTCTACTAGGCTTAACTTCATGTTCTGGTTGCTGATCATTACATCAATAAGCTGGCTCAGAATTAAAATATTACAGCTCACGATGATGCAGTGAAACGCATTACACCACTGAAAACTACAAGCGCAACCATTAGTTTCAATACACCAAGTACTTTATATCAGCTCCCTATAAATGTCGTGTGTGGAGAAATTATATTTTTAATGATGCTTTAAGTTCCGAAGTACCAAAAAAAAATGTTGATCAGAAACGGTTTAGAGCAGGTACATATAATTTGTCTGATTGTCATGAAATAACAGCAATCCAAACATTGTGACGGGAATCACCTTCCCTGATTAATTGCCATGATGTCCCCCTCCAGACAAGAGATGCCGACCTACTTCACTCACTCTCCCGTAAGACGAGGCAGATCAGTGGAGGACGTGCTGAGAAATCTCAACCTAAACTCGACCATCACGCCTCAGATGATCAACTTGGGCCTCTCACGGGAGCGTAAGTAGCCGTCAAAGCGATGAATGGTATAAAAGCTCACAAATACTTCAGTCACCTTTCAACCATTCTCCACCGCAGTGGTCACAGAGGTGTGGCACCAGCAGGCCGTGTGCAGGCTCCTGCAGTTGATTGAGCTCCCGCTGCTGGAGAACTTGCTGGGGTGCAAGTGCGCCTCGCGGTCTTCATTGCTCACGGTAGACAGCGACTCAGACTTGTTGCTGTCAGCAGGCTACTTGGACAGAGAAGTGCTCAAGGCCTTCAGTGAGGCACAGTAAGTGGCGGTTCTTCAGTGAAAACGTATAGGAATTGTTTTGGATCTTTTTTTTTTTTTACATGACCCTCAGCATTTTGGAGACTGAGAATCGACTTTGAGAAAGAAATTGCTTTAACCCTTTCAGGGACAGCGGTTACTACAGTGGACAGCTGATCATGTTATCAGGTTACACGGTCCACAAAATTGTTAAATCGTTTGAACGGCGCCACAATGGTGCAAATTGCACAGCCGATCAAAAAAATACACCAGCTTTCACAAAACAAAACAGTTTTGATTAATCAGTGCAAACAGGCTTTCAAAATATCTATGCTCATTTCCTCTCATGGCAATCGACTTCTTCCTTGACAATCACACCATGTTTTTGTGGTTCAATAAAATAATAATAATAATAATAATACGCTGTCCCAAAAAGGTTAAATAGTGAATCACAGAAAAGTTAGTGGCTGAACACTGCATACGACGCGACAGTTCTGGTTCAGCCACGTTGCTCGGTATTTGGTGGGCCCAACAACATGAGTTTATCATTGGCAAATTGTAGTTTCATATAATGCGGATTGATGCTTATTGTAGTACCTAAGTACGGTTTACCAACCTCTCAAACAAGATGTAGCATTTTTTTTCGACAAGTACAACATTGTCCACAAGCACTAGATTCAATACAACTGTGTCAGAAATCTTCCTTTTCAAACATTATTGCACTATTTGTAATATATCGGCTATGTTATAAGCTACACAAGAGGGTGAAAATGATATCGCATAGATCTTCAAATCTCCTGCTGACATCACTTGGCTGTATTCGTTTCAAATCCCGACTGCTTTCTATCCCTCAGGGCAGATGAATGGATGTCTGGTGCCGTAGACTGTCTGGACTTCCTCCCCGATAATCAAGTGGTGGAGGTCAGCAAAGGTCTGGCGGGCTGCGCCAATGACCTATTCGAATGTAAGAGGCTGCTCTACGAAGTCCTGGCGAATCATTACGCTCGAGTCAAGCAGCCGCCACTCCTCAGCAACCACTTGTTCGACATCTACTCGGGCATTTCGGAGCTTCTCGGTGAGAAGACTTATTTCATTTTATTGCTGGTAGTACAGACTTTCCAGGCCCACCTGCAATAGGTGAAAAAAACCCCCGCAATATAGAGAGACCAGTTTTCTCCTCCCACATGCTTAAAACGCAAGTGTGTTAAAATACAGCAGTAATAATGCTCATATAATTGTCCAAATAAGATGCAAAGCTTTCTTGTGTCACGCTATTTGTCACTCTCAGTTGACGTGTACTGTAAATCCGATACATATCTTAAACACCAAAATGTTCAACCAAACCTTACAATTGAAATTGCGTTAGCTTAATGCTAACATATAACAGGACCCGCTACCTTGAAATTTGACAGGTATCGGCCACGATACCACATCCTGGTATCGATACTCGCCCATCCCTTGTAAAAACCAATTAAAGCAGTCGCTTTAAAATTGGTGACATAACTCACTGTGTACGCTATGCTGAGGTTCCACTTCCTTCTGCCTTGTGTCATCGTCGTTTGTGTGCCATGTGTCCTCAGTAAACGGTAAACTGGAGCAAGCTCTGGAGGCACTGCAGCTCAGCCTGAAGCTGCAGGACTCTCGATGCAGGGAGGAGCTGCGGCGGCTGCTCAGGTTCATGGCCATTGCCGCTAACGCACAGGACATCAAACTCCACAAAGAGGTGTGTGCCTACAGTAACATAGCTATGTTTCCGAGGCGAAGCCAGTGTGGCTGTTAGGCTGGGCATCATTATTTATTATTTAGTTGAAACATTTTTTTTCCCCTGTAAAATACAGCAAATGTGTTCACAGAATGAATTAAATGTGTAACTTAGGACATTTTATTTCAACTGAACATACAGTACAATAAATAAGATCCTTATAAGAATCTATTTGATAAAATTACCAAATGAAAGATTAGATTCTTTTCTTTGAACATAAAAAAAAGTTTCTTTCTACCTTATTCCATTTTTTTTTTTTTTTTACTAATCAGCAATAGAACTCGGGTTGGTTTCACCCATTTCAGAAAAGGGCAGAAAACCAACTTTTGGTGAAAAATATATTTTATGCACAACAACAAGAGTGAATGTTCTGCCAGTATTTTTTGCTTTATTGGCTACTCAAACATCTGAACAGTTCTTTTCTTCTATAAAATACCACCAGCAGCAATGAAAATGCACTTTTGATGGCAAAATAATTATGACAAACTTGACAAACTATTTGCACGCTATTGAGTAGTAGTAGTAATAATTAGTAGTGTGTGTGCGTGTTGATGTGTGGCCGTGTATGCACGTACCTGTATGTACAGTACGTACATTACATCATCGCCTCTACTTCTAAATTTAAACAATGTCTCTCACCTTTTCTCTCTTTTGTGACACTCTTTGTGGTAGATTTAAGGTTGCAAATTTTGATTTCAAATATTCGCCATATGTTCATGAGCTTGTGCATTGTCTTGATATGCGTGATCTCATCCAAAAGACACCGAATGATGCCATCTGCTTTTTTTAAATATATTTCAGGAGCATAGTTACCATTCTTTGCGCCTGTGTGTCCCGCAGATCGAGAACCGAATGGCAGTGAAGAGGTCATTCTCCAGCGCCATCGTGTACAGCCGAAGACTCTCCAAAGGCAAAGTGGACCTGATGGTTCTTTTTATGATGGACAACCATTGCGATCTATTCAATGTGAGTGTTGTGCATTACATTAGAAGAGCTCACAAACGGCCGGGGACGGCTGCACGCTGTTTGCGAGTTTCATCTCTTATGCACATCAGGAACAGCTTAAAACTAATTGCATGTCTCTTCCCCCCCAAAAAAAAACAAAAACAAGACGGGCTTCCCAACAGGAAGGAGGTAATAAACAGGGACGTTATGTAAGAGATGTGCAGCGGAAGGAAAGATAATCATGAGGCTTTTGTTTGTGCTTTTTCAATGTGTTTTATTCTTCCATCCCATATCTTTTCAATGATCTTTTCAACGCACTGGTCAAAACATTAGGTACACCGGCACCTTCTCATAGCATCCGATGGCAGGGAGATAAATTTATGAAGATGATCTTCAGTTTTGACCGACACTGTCAGAGGTGTATTAACAATTAGTTGTGGTTCTACTTTGTACTGTACTGATAATAGCTTCCGTCTCACGGCAAACATGTTTTTAAACATTATCTCTGAAATAATTAAATGTCAACGTGGTTTTACACTAAGCATTTTATAATAAATATCTAAAACTAAATATATTAGTGTAATAATACAAATTGGTGGCATATAATATGCGCGTAAATAATATACAACAAATACATGCAGTATGCATGGAGTAAAAATGCCAGTTGTTTCCTAGCAAAAAATACTTAAGTATACCGTATTTTCCGCACTAAAAGGCGCACCTAAAAGCTTTCCATTTTCGTAAAAGCTCACAGCGCGCCTTAAAATCTGATGCGCCTTGTGTATGATCATTATGGTAATATTTCGACCCCAAAATGGCTGCTTGGAGACATGCTTACGACGCAGAGTTCAAACTTAAGGCGATTGGTTTCGCAGTTGAACACAGAAATAGAGCAGCGGCAAGAGAGTTCAACGTTAACGAGTCAATGTTATAACTTGCTATTGGTTAAATGAACTGTGTCGGTGCTTTAATAAATAAGTTTGACTGACATCTGATTGTCGCTATATAAATCAGAGTGTAGTGTAGTGTAGTGTTCTGTTGGCATTTCCTTGAGCGTCGCTCCATCTATTGGATGCATTGTAGATTGCGTCTTGTAATGCGGTGCGTCCACTATATGAAAAAAATGACAAAATAGGCCATTCATTGAAGGTGCGCCTCATAATCTAGTGCGCCTTTTAGTATGGAAATACTGTAAGTAAAACAGTATGATGCATTAAAACTAAATCTGGCAGGTATAAGTTAGCCCAAAAATGACGATGACTGAAGTAAATGTAATGGGGTAACATACATCACGACATCCAGGTACATAATAGTCAAAAAATAAACACATTTGCTGGAGTTTCTTTGTTACAATTTACAAATGTATATCATATTTTTTTATTGCCATCAGGTTCCTGTTTCACTACACAAGATGGTCAGCGACAGATTGAAGAATATCGTTCGAGGGAAGGATGCAGATATGATAACAGGTGTGCAGATCTTACTTCATTGTATCATTTATTTGACATCATCTCCACAAAAAATATTCCTCTTATTTCCCATATTGTTGTATTTCATTCCCCTCTGTAAATTCAGGGTCGACGTATTGCACAAGACAGAGCGCAAAGGCTTATTCGGAAAACAGAGAAACGCACACTAAAGAGGAATTGCGGTCGTTACTACGGACAATCCACGAGAACCCCAACATGCCCAACAAGGAAAAGAGACATCTGCTGGCCCAGTTCTACAAAGGCCACCCGGACATTTTTGTGCAATATTTTGGCAATAAGTTATCAAGCATGAACATGTTGCTACAGTAAAACTTTGTATGTAATTTAATGCCACGGGGTGGTTGTAAATGTGAACATATGTGGCCGTTGTGTAAATAGTGACTGTGAATGTGGATTTGCAAGGAGTAAAGCTGTGATTTATATGCACATACCATAATTTCCGGACGATTGAGTGAACCAAGGTTATTATAGTAAAAGAAACTGCAAGAACTAAAAGTAAAATTGAATAACAATTTTCCGGAATGAAATAAAACAAAAATGCTTAAAAAAAAAAAAAAAAACTAACTGGAACTATATCTTATATTTACAAAAGTAACTGAAAGTGAGTAAAATGAAAGCAAACATGTTTTTTGTTTTCATCTTGGTGAATTAATATCATATATGAGCTTTGAGTATGAGTATATTTTAAATGTCTTTATTTTGATATTGCTGTATGTCCATACAAAAGAAGGCAGGTCAAACAGTTACTTTACACAATACTTTGTGAATTTTGTTTGAATCTTGCATCCAAGAAAAAATAAAACAAATACTAAAACTAAACTAAAATGAAGCATTTTTGGGGAAAAAAATGCTTATAAAATGAATTATAAAACATTTTTTAAAAACTTTAATGAAAAATCCAAAACTATTACTGTATAATACTGGAGCGCACCTTAACATATATGTTGCACCCACTAAATTTAAAGAGAGATGAGAACTTTTACACGTACCCATTGTCCAATGTCGTGTTTGTATAAAAGTGGGTTGCACAGATAGCGAGAAGGACTTTCCAAAGCAAGTCTTGCAGATGGTCGATGCATATCGGGGACTTTTTGTAACATCACATGAGAAGGTTTGGTGTCACATCAGGCTGCACCCCGTTCACTCATGGGCTATATAGAGTATCCCAGCAATGTCGCTGCTCCCTGATGTGAGGTCAACGCTTCTGAGAAATGGGACACCGCCAAGGACGGATGCAAATATTGGCGGAATGAAGCTGGTTAGCCCGTATAAATCCATAAATTAGCTGCATCGTTATTTAAGGTGCACGGTTCAAAGCAGGTGAAAAAAGTAGCGGTTTATAGTCCGGAAATTACAGTAATTTCGGTCTCGAAGAATATGCCTCAGAGGTCAAACAAAGGTGTTGAGAATGTCTTTAGCCAAGTAAGCAATTAAAATGTTATGCTTCTTTGTTAACTTATTTAAATTTTTTATGCCATCACAGATGTGTGTTAGCCATAGAACAGAAAATTAAAATTACTGTGAAATAGGAAAGGTAGGTCAGTCCAGCATGAGCAATACAACCTTAAGTAATGGGTGCGTAGTTTCTTTTATAAATTTTTATGGCTTGTGTATGCTATTTTATATATATACAGAGAGAGAGAGAGATCTTACTGTAAAACTTAAATATCACTTGAGGAATTAAATATTATTGTTGGCCCCAGAACAAATTCATTTGCTTTACATTATTTCCTATGGGATACTTTGTTTTGAAACCAGAACAAACTGCAGGTCACTCAGCATACCAGAACCAACTGTGTTCAATTGAGGAGGTTCCCATCTCTTATTCATGTATTGGGACATAAAGAAAAAATGGAGGGAGGAAATGAAGAAGGAAATTAAGAAATTATTCAAGCTTTTCAGCTACAACAACTTTTTCGTTGCAGCTCATCCTAAAGCTGTTTGTTTAGGATTAAGGCCTCGGCTTCATCGCTCTTCCAAAGTATCCTCATCCAAGTATACTTTTATTGACCTTGCTTTGTGCACTGGGAAATAAAGTAGGAAGCTTTGATAGGTCCAACATGTTTAAGTAAGATTCAACCAGAACTAATACAATCTGAGGTTGAGGTATTAACCAATAGGTGTGCTCCAATACTTATTTTTTAGCGAATGTCAGTTACTCTTTCCAGTCAAGTATGTATGCGTGTCCTTTGTGAGAAAAGACCGAGTGTTCCAAATAAACAATGTGATGCAGACCAGCTGTGTCTGAGGAAGCCTTCTGACGCAAATTTGAAAGTCTAATGTTGCGGTGTTGTGAATAGTCGGCGAGATTCATGGGAATCATTCCCCCGTGGGCATTTCAGCGGCAAAAAGCCTCGCTTCAGTCACGTCAATGAGGTTGTGTTTCATATGGGGCTCCTTAATGAGATCCATTTACTGAAGAAACGGCTGCTTTGTTACTAGGTGAAAAAAGCTTTGCCGCTGTAAGCACAAACTATCAAATATTTTGATGGCATGATTGCACATAAGTGTTTATCATAGTCTATCAGGCAACAGTGTAACCTAGAACCTGTAAAATTAATAGAAATATTAATCCTTTAGCTGAGACTCAAATAATAGAAACTGAATGGAATGATGCTTTTTAGACAGAGGTTTGTTCAATTTACCATGGCCTTTGGCGTTTTACAATGATGTCAAATACTGCCCCCTTGTGGGCATGGCGAGCATGAAACCTCTGAATGGTAGTTTGTATTGGAAAACAATTGTCCCATTAGTGACCACTTCAGTCTTTATTGAGTTCTCCGAGGGCCTGGGTTTGGGTTTGCATAACAGTGGCACTGAGGATGCACAGTAATTGTTCGAAGATTCGCAGGGATAAAACAAAGAGACGAAATACACATATTGTGATGAACTTAATGTACACTTTTATTGAGAGATCATCTCCTCCAGGTATCTAAAAATATTTGCCATCACTGGAACAACACAAGGCCAAAAACTGAGCTGTTTGCCACAACCGATGACGGTTGGATTAAAAACTTTGTACAGTATAAGTCAGTCTTTGAACATAAAAACACAAGGACACTCAGGCTTAGGTTGTGTGTGTATGTGTGTGTGTGTGTGTGTGTGTGTGCGCGTGTGTGTGGCTGCGTATGGTTGCTGTACTGAGGTCAAGTTCTGTCAGCCCAACACTCTCCAAAAACAAATGTGTTACGGTACCTCCTTTGGCCGCCTGTTACATTCTTGTAAGGTTCCCCCCCATAGTGGCCGTTCTATCGAATCCTCTTCTGCTGGCGAGCGCGGTAGATGTCATGGACGGGCGGCGCCACCGCTCCTTTGTCATCTTCCTCATCCGAGTCGGCGTTGGGTCTCTTGAGTGACTTAGTGGTGGCGTGGTTCTCCACAGCGCCGTTGCCCTCGCCGCCCCCGTCTGGCAGTCTGCCAGTGATGAGCTCCACAGCAGCCTCGATAGCTTTGAAGGAGGGAGGAATGGGGAGAGTGAGTATACATTAAACCCTTGCCTGTTCACTGTCCGGCAAGGGTGACCTATCCTCAGTCGCTTAAAAACTCGTTAATACTGTGACGTCATCTAGTGGAATATTGTTGCTGTTGATGCAAGGTTGAATTAATTGTTGGTGTTTTGTCTGTTTTTGACATAGTCCTTTTTATTGATGCACCTCATGCACATGTTTTCGCTTCTGTCCTGGTGCAGCTACTAACAGCCGGTGTAGTCTATTTTGTCGACATTGCCTTATATTTATCGCTGTGTGTAAAAGCCAGTAAAAGCTGATGTGTTGACTAATATTACTGATGAGCTTCATGCGACTGCAGTTTGGTTTGTTGTGTTGAACAACTGCATACTGTAGTTTATGTAACAGGGGTTTGAGATTGTGTACATGCTAGGTGCATGGTGTTGATGCTTTGACGATTATTATTGGTCTATATTGTTCCAGACCACAGTAAATAAATCAATCCAACAGGAAAAAAAACAGTCGCAGTTTTAAGACCTTTGCCACCACCTTGTGGCAATTACAAACCCCTTCAATGTGAAAGGGATTGTGTTACCTTGCGTATGAAATATGCCGTATAAATAAAGCGGCCTTTCCTTTTACGGGAGGTGTCAATGATTCATGATTTTAGTCTATTCACCGTAGGCCTCGGTCTGGCACCCTGTTCTTTGCACCCAATTTTACATAAAGAGAGGAAGATAAGAGGGACACAGATAGAGAATGACAGAGACTGAGAGCAATAGAGATAAAAGTATAATAATAATAATAGAGACAGGCAGGTAGACAGAGAGATAGGGCGACTTACTTTCCGGAAGTGTGCATCTCCTGAAAGTCTCAATGAGCTCATCCACTTGAACGAAAGGACCCTGCAGAGCAGACCATTGCAGATCCTTTTAAATATACACAAACAAAGCAGCAGACCACTTTGTGTGTTCACGATTACTGACGGTGAAACACGTCGGCGGGGGGAGCAGCTTCATTAAAATAACAGCCACCGGAGGAACCGGGAACACTCCGCCGGATACAGGGTGCAGGCCTGGAGCTGCGGACACAAACAACAGGCGGTCGTGAACACGAGACGTCACAACTGTCGAGTTTGAAGCATGACACAGAGACTAGGTACCTGCTAGGTGGCGCGGCTGGAAGGGGATCATCTGATTGGTGTCCGGCTTGGGGTACTCTGGTTTTCGATCTATTTCGTCCTTCAGCGTGGGCGCAGAGGGCACCGCCACAGCCTCAGGAAGCAGAGCTGCCAGTTTGGCACGAGTCACATCCTACAAACATAATTCATGAACAAAGTAAGATGCAGATGGCAAATTTCTGGTCCACAAGGCCAGACCTGGCCATTCAGGCCATTTTATGTGGCCCGCAAAGGCTTACCACAATTTTTCGTTGACTTCTATTAAAACCATGGCATACAAATGGTGATACGAGGGTCATTCAATAAATACGGTGAATTTTTCGGTACAAGGACTTCTAATACAGATAGAAGCTTACTTTTTTTTCTCTTTTCAACATGGTCCCAGCACTGACACCCACTTTTCCCATCTATTGATGTCATTAATCGGAAAGGACTTTACATATGTCCCTTTACACAAAAGATACGCAGTTTGTTCTGTATTTTATTTCCTTACTGCACCCAATGCGATCCAAACTGTAAACTTAAAACCAAGGTCTTATACAGCTATATTGTTTCACAGTAAGTGTTGCATCAGTGATGGTCAAAGCACACACCTTGTATCCCAGAGCCTTGAGTTCACTGGCAGAGCAAGGATACAGGTCCATGAACTTGTATCTGTCCACGAGCAAAGCTGTCTCTTTGCCCTCGTACTCCTCCTTGAAGGCGGTGAAACGGCGCCGCTCCACCTTCAGAATACTGGCAAGGTCGCCGATGTTGCTCTCAAAGGCCAGAAAACGAGCCCAGATCTCCCTGAGAGTGGAGACAGACGAAATACAAGTCGATCAAAATGAGGCCAGTGAGATCAATTGCTCAATGAGGCAAGATAATAAACACTGCATGTACCCTGACTTCTCTGGTGAAAGGTTTCCTGAGGTGA